GGGGGGGGGGGGGGGGTTAAGAGCAGCTGCTGCAAGTGTTAAAAAGTCTGCAAAAGCTTTGCTGCTCGCCTCTTCTCCCCTCATTGATGGAAAACTGTACTATTTCCCACAATGCAAAGCAACCTGTGACTGGAGGAGGCAGATCCTGTCATTCATCCGTCCGTCCTCCAGTCACAAGATGCTTTGCATAGTCACTAAAATGTCTCTAGGCACAATACACATTTTAATAGCTTGACAAATGTAAACAACAGGAAGCAACAAACATGTTATGATGCTCAAATGTCACATGTGTTGTTGCACAATGAGAGTTTTCCTCCTCAAATCGGTCAGGCCATACAGGTGATGCCTGAGGAGGTAGCCCCTCTTCTGCAGATAAACCCAGCCAACCCATTTGACTGCTGATGTAATTTGACAGTGGGGGGCAGGGAGCGAATGTTCTAAAGTCAAATTATCAACCGAAAGTCAATAAAAACGTGAACGGTTAATTTCTACTTAAGCATAATTCAGCTTTTGTGCTAAAATATTCTAACAGTTAACTTTCCCACCTGTTTCTTCCAACACCTTCAAGCAACCTACTTCAGTGTCAATTTATGCCATATTGCCGAAACATCTTCATAAAATAAATGTACAAAAAAGGCAATTGAATAAGCCAGCAATGTGGGAATTGGAGTAACCCATGGCAGCCAAACTCCAGTTCACTGAAATAATGGGGAAAGGTGAATTCCAGTTACCAAGGGTTAAAGCATTCAACTAGCGGATACTAATCATTAAGGTGCCCGGTTTACAGAGGGGCAGAAGCATTTTATCATGTCCTGCAAACAGCCAGCACAGGCTGCTACTCTTGTATGCGGTGCCTCAGTGACAAACTGGTATGTATTGGTACCCATCCCTTCCTACATCTGGATGTAGACTCATTACTGCTGAGCCTTGGAAGCCAGAAATTATAGTCTATAAACTGACAATGTCAAAACATGTCATGTAACCGTTCTACTCTTCAAACTTTACATTCATCTGAGAATCCTCCATCTGCAGCAATTACAGCTTTGCAGACCTTTGGCACACTAGCTATCAGCTTTTGAAGATAGAGGGGAAATTTCAACCCACGACTTCTGTAGCTATTCCCAGAGACGAGAATGGCATTGTAGGCCATTTTCATCTGTCTATTGAAGCTCTTCCCGCATCAGCTCAATAAAGGTTGAGACCGGGGAAAAACATCAATCAAAAAAATGTAGGACCCTTACAAATGGCTTTTCCGATCAGGTCCACCTGACGATTTTTCAAGTGGACCCGATCAGATGCCCAATGCTAGTCTATGGGCAGTCGGGTCTAAATGGGTAATTGTGTGTTGACACCCAGTTACCCAAGTCTCCTGCAAGGTTTGGAAAAATAGAAAAGTGTTCCGTTTCACCGGACTGGATCATGCTGGATTGGGGGTAATGTGATTTAAACGGACGCATGTCCATTTACATCGGTCTACCTATAGACTAAAATGGGATCCAGCATGACGGACTGGACAGACTGAACTGTACGCACAATGAAATCTTTAAGATTCAATAAATTCTGGCGCAAACCATACTGCCCAGTGTCAGAAAGATCTCTCACTTGCAGGTCATGCTTCCTCCAACACAATAATGACCCAAAACACTCAGTTAAAATATAAAAGAACGGCTAAGATAAAAACAAAGGACTTTTCTAAAGTGGCCTGATCTGAATGCTATTAAACATCTTCGAAAGGAGCTGAATCATGCAGTCTGGAGAAGACACCCTTCAGACCTGGGACAGCTGGAGAGGTTCGCTCAGGAAGAGTGAGCCAAACATCCTGTTTGCGGGTGCAGAAGTCTCATTGAGAGCTACAGAAATTGCTTGATCGCATATAAAGCTTGTGTAACAAAATATCAGGTAAAAGGATCCGTCATTTTCAATTGTTTTATTATTTAAAAGATTCCATTGAATGAAGCATCTATAGTAAGGTCGAATTATTAAGGAACAAGGATACCCAATTGCTTTTATCAGAAAAGTGTGAGTTCTTTGGAAGGGTACCAACAAATGTATTTGTCCAGAGCTGTGCGTTTGATCTTCTTTGATCTTGAACTTAAGGTCATCCCTTTGTAGCATACCATTCCTGTCATCCACTGTCCAATATCATGTCCTTTCCCCCCTTTTTATTAGTCAGTTTTAGATATAGACTCTCCTGCATCAGACATGCTTCCGGTGGTGTCAGATACCTGGTCCTCCATTGCATTCTGTGGTCCTATCACCAATCCTGCATCACTACTGTGTCCTATAGTACATAGGGGTCAGCAGGAGAAAACAGAATACATGTGGGACTGGTTACCAGCAACACCCAGAAGCATTGAAGAAAGGCCTTGGTAGCTCCACAATAAGAGAAGACTGGCACAGGTAAGCACTGTTTTTTTTAACTAGAACGCCTTTAGTCATTTATTTAAAATTTGTGGAGTCACTTTAAGAAGCTGAGGAATCTGAAGATTAAGACACACAGCTTCCTGGTCAACAGACCGATGTGTTATTTAGAAAGCCGTCTCATTTTGGTCATTTTTAACCCTGAAAAAAAACTTGGAATGCCAGCCCATTGAACAGAACTATTTTATTTGTACATACACAAAAAACAAAAAAACAAACCTCCCACACAATGATTAAAGGAGAACTATGGGGTTAAGGCTTTTCCCCATAGTTCTCCTTAGGGTAACGGGAGGACACAAACTAGCGTCCTCCCGTTACCCTAAGCTCAGTATACCGCAAGCTACAGCTCGCGGTATACTGAGACGCCGCAGCCGGAGCGGATCCCAACATGGACATCGGGATCCGCCCAGCTGCGTGAGTGACAGCTGGCTCTGCCTATCTAGAGGGGAATCCAGCCCCTCCCCCTGTCACGGCAGAGAGCCATGACAGGATCGAGAGGTGAGCGAACCCGGTATGTGTTCGCTCACCTCCCGATCTACTGAGCCGACCTGTGACAGTCTCATTGTCACAGGTCGGCTAGAACTATGAGGTGAGTGGAAATCACTCATCTCATAGTTCTCCTTTAAGAAACAGCCGCATTACACTAACCCCAAATCTCCAAGCTACACACTTCATTCTATTGAAATGTTTCCTCCTAGTATACTTTGAAAACACTTACCTGGTCAAGGTTTTTAAAGAGTAGAATATCCTTGCAGGCTTCCTGTAGCCTACATCTCTGCTCGTCTGTTTTCGGGTGAACTACCTAGAAGAGATACATCATTAGCAGCTGTGAAGTAATGTCATTCATTAGGAATTAAAAGACAACTTCTCCATTAAGCATGCAAGTCATTTTAGTAAGGATTTTGTGCAGCCTGGAAAACCAAACCAATGACCTTCCTCCCTGCGCCTCTCTCCGTGCCACTATATTTTGAATACTGAAAACAGCTATACCCCGTCCCTAGACTCCTAGCCATTCCCATTCTGTCTGTTAACCCTCCAATATATATTATATGGCCAAAAGTTGGAGGGACATGAAACCTACAGGAGTTTGTTGGGACATCCCATTCCAATACAACGGATATTAATATGGAGCATGTTGTGACCTCCACTGTTCTGGAAGCTTTCACAAGAGTTTGGATTGTGTATGTGGGCATTTAGCCAAAAGATCATTTGTGGGGTCATGCTGCATAAGAAAACCTGTTTTTTAAAATGGCATTTCAATTTATCCCAAAGGTGCCTAATATTTTTGAGGAGGTCAGGGCTCTGTTCAGGCCACTTGAGCTCCTCCACACCTAACCAGTAAAACCAGTTCTATATGGAGATGGCTTTGTACACAGGAGCAGTCACGCTGGAAGAGATAAGGGCCTTCAAAACTCTATCCATTATCATTAGCAGTACCTTTCATTGGAAACCCCTGAACGCAATCATCTGGAGAGGTGTCCACATAATGTTGGTTGCACGGTGCACCTTAACATGCCAGAATTGACAACTGACCGGCACATATACAAGCTACCACAAAATCTGACACATGACAGCCAAGCACTTATTTGTGCCTGTGCAAAGTGTGACTGGCAGCTATAAATGATCATCCATTGATAAGGTCGGTGGGAGGGAGATAATCTTTGCAGAAGGATAATAGCTCTAGAGGTGCAATAGCATCTATAATTACAAAAAGGTGCAAGGTACAGACAGGTGGAGGAGTACTGAGGATTCAGCAACTGTTCTCTAGAACACACATAATTGCTTACACTGTAAAAATATTTCACAATACACCCAACACAGTTTGAAAATCAATGTCTCAGAGGATAAAAGGAATACATTGGCCAACAAGTAGATCTAGAGGTTCAGTGCACCTTAAATGTTAAGACCACCAAGCAGATTGAGGGTTTTATGCTCAATTTAGCAAGTATGGAAAAATTGGAGCATTTAAAAATAGGGACATTTCAAAAGTCACTTCTGCCTTGCAGCACTGGGGCTCCCCGGTTCGAATCCCGGTAAGGACACTATCTGGGTGCTCCGGTTTTCTCCCACACCCCAAAGCCATACTGGAAGGGAAATGGTCTCCTGTCTAAATCGGCCCTGTATGCATGCAAGTATAGGGACCTTAGATTGTAAGCTCCTTGAGGACCGGGACTTACGAGAATGCGTGCTATGTAAAATTGTCAGCGCCATATAAATACCCTTAATAAATTAAGCTTGGGACTCCCTCCCCCCAAATTAGACAACTCAATTATACATTTAGGTAAGGTGAGGACACAAAAAGGGAAGAGCAATATATTCCTACAGTGACCTTGACATGAATTAGGCAAATAAGCAGCAAGTTTGGTCACATCTGGCATGGTGTAAAATGACTACAGAAATGACTGCCTGGGGCCCGCAGCAGCATTTGATTGCAGCACTTTGTGTCTCACTCGGACTCTGTGGAGAGCACATTAATGTTACATTAGCCGGCAATAATATGAATTCTATCTTAATTAGCTATTTAATTGCCACTTTTTAAAGCCACTCCAATACTTCGGCCCGCCAATTCTTGGCCTCTTTGGCTTGCTCTCGAGTTTGTCCCGCTGTTCCAGGACGAGGAAATAAAAAAAGATAGGAACGTATGCCTACATAAAACATTCATTGTTTTAAGGTGTGAACAGAAAAGTGTTTTCCAGCCGTAGGCTTATGCAGCATAATGAATAGACGTTTATTTACCCGAGGTTCTGTGTCTTCATCCTCCTCATCGGGATTAAAGGCTTCAGCACAAACTAATAAAAAGGAAATAAACATTATACAACACCTTTAATATATCTCTTTAATATCCAGCATTACCCTGAAACGCAAATGTATCTTAAAGGCTTTCAAAATATTTCTCCGCATATAGCTTTGTACTCTGTTACTCTGAGTCAGTCTCTACGATTTTTACAGAAAGTTTTAAAGAATTACAGAAGTATTGTTCAAAACCCAAATTCTCACAAAAAGTGAGAAAAACAAAAAAAGGGATGGTTATGTAAAAAATAAAGAACACAAAGGCATCCATATAATTGCTCATTGCATATCTAAATATTGTAGAAGTATACCAGCAAAAATCAATCATGCCATTTAAAGCCCAAGTATAAATATACCTTTTATATGAGACCAATTCTTTTTTTTTTTACACTTAAAACTTTATTGCTATCACATGGGGGCTAACAAGATACAGTGACAGGCCCTCTTTATGAAATATGGTGGATTCCATCGCACTGCTGACAGGAACACCCCAAGGTGCCTCTGCATGTCAAAAACTGTAACTGGTAGAAAGTCACCCTTACTCCAAATACTTCTGTAGTCAATCTTCTTTGACCATCAAAGTGTCACATAACTTAAAGTGACATTAAACCCTCAGATGTTTTAACATAAAAACAATACTGTAATGTGTGCCTTACTGTAATCCATGGTTGTTTCCCTTCTCTTTGCTGCTCTTCCTTTTAAATCTGTATCTGTTCTCATGCTCTGCAGAACTTCTGTTTTGCAGCAGACTGCCTTGTCTTTGGAATGCATACACGGTGTCTGTGTATACGTTTGTATAGGCTTGTAACCTCAGCCAGCACTACAGGAAGAGGCCTTGAGCTGAAAAGGGAAGTTCTCCCCCAGCATGAGAAGACATGAGGATTTAAAAGGAAGAGCCGCAAAGAGAAGGGAAACTACCATGGATTACAGTAAGGCGCACATTACAGTATTGGTTTATGTTAAAAAATCTGAGGGTTTAATGTCACGTTAATGTTTCGAGGCTGTGTGGTCTCTTCTTCAGGCAAACAATAGGGTGTTTGCCTGAAGATTGACAAAAGTATGTGGAGCGCCAATTACTTTCTACCAGTTACAGGTCCTCTTTATGGAGATATCAGGGGTCTATTGGACCCCTAATGTCACCTAGGGACCCCAAAGAAGCTGATGAAGCAGAGATCTGCTTCACCAGCTTCTACTTGCAGCCGGAGAAAGGACACATCACTTCCGCTTTAAGTGATCAGATGGGAGATCAGCCAGAAAAAAAAAAAAAAAAAAAGTGTGCTGATCTCCCTCCAACCATACCGCTGTGCTGGTCCCAGGCCCGCAAGGGGGATAGCAGAACCTAAGCGAGCCAGCATCAGCACCAGAAGGGGTGCACACTCCCTGGTAGCATACAAGCTATCAGGGGGCAAACGCTTGTATTTAACAGCTGTTGCCGGCTGCAAGCGGGAAAAGGCATTTATTAACACCCACCCGCCATCAGGAGTGAGTCGCCCTGACAGCAAGTGGTTAATGTCTGTTAATCCGCTCATTGTCCATTTCCTGTAACAGGCCAAGCTGTCCAGCAAAAGTGTCAATTACCGGGTTGGGAAAAACAAACCACTGCTGGTGGTGCATCGAAGGGTCAGTATTTTTTACACTTTAAGCCATTTCAAAAAAAAAATATTTCTCTGCCGGAATAGAGTGTTCACACTGGAGTTGGGCCTTCAGGATTCCACGCGGTCAGGAGTCGCCTAGGTGTGCACCGATCGCGCTGTGGGTGCCATTATTATCTAATGGCACCCCAGTCACATCGCGCGGGATTCCACCCATGCTTCTGAACACGATTGCAGCTAAAACAGCTACGCGTTGTGTATCGCAGAAGAAAAAAAAAGGTGCATGTACCTTTTCTGCGATTGACGCGGATGTCACCTCATTGAAATCAATGGGGCTGTGCAGCAACCGCTGTCTGCATTGTGCAGAGCCGCGCAATCCCGGATCGCCGAGCCTAAGACTACCCTGTCTCAGCACTGCTGTGAAATATAACCTTGTCATCCTGATAATGGAAGTGGGAAAAACGGATCCACAGGCAAGATCAACAGGTAATTAAAATATGTTACAGGGGGGCTCAGGGAAAAAAAACAAAAACTGGCACGTTAATACCGGAGACAGACACATTATATATATATATAAGTTTGGATTTTGGAGTTTACTTTAATTCCTCTGTAAATTCACTGTACGGTTGGGCATGGCCGGCATTATAAAAAGCAAACAACCCCCCTAATTTCAAGCAATGCCTGCGATAAACCTCCTAGGGGTGATCACAAACCCCTCCAGCTGTTAGAAGCGCTTGTTACCTCACAGCAAGATAAACTTGCTGGAAAGCATCCCTGTGAAAGGGCCCAGATGTCCGATATTCTTTATAGAAAAGTTGAGGAAGAAATGGCTGCCATTTCTGTCATACAAGAACCCGAGCAGGTCCCTCAGTGAAAGGCTGATTTATCCCCATTTGTTTCCTTAGAGATCTGCCCTCCCCCCCATGAGAGATGAAGAGCTGCCAAATCTCATCTGTCACGGTGTTCAGTCTAATCCTTGTAAAACAGGAACGTATTTCATTCTAGATTACGCCATATCTAATCGGGAGCGGGCGATCTCCTTTGAGCTGCAATTTGACTCCTGGTTTTTATAGAGATGAGCAAAGCTGGTCAACGAAGAGAGTTGTTTTCAGGCTATTTATCTGCAAGCAGCAAAATAGATCTGATAGATAGACAGCCCACCTGGGACCAGAAGTCAGACTAAAGCTGGCCATACACGGTTGTATTTTCTCTGTTCAACCTGCGGGCTGAACGAAGAAAACATAACAGATTGCTCCATCAATAGTTATGAGTAGGGATGCACCGATACCGGTATTTCGGTATCTAGTACTAATACTGATACTTTTTTCGGTACCCACTGATACCGAATACAGAGTACCGGAAGTCCCATTCAGGAAGCCAGACGGCATGTAATGACGCGCTGCCCGGCTTCCTGATACCAGAAGTATCGGGCTAGGCACCGGAGCACTTGGGCGAGCACAAGTACTCGCCCCAAATACTCTGCATCGGCACCCATACTAGTATGGGTATCTGTGCATCCCTAGTTACGAGCGTGGATGGAGGAATCCCCAAATGCCGTCACCAACTGACAGCCGCTGCAAGAAAACCGCTGTAAGAAACGGTACTTGCAGCTGATTGATGATTTTTCAACCACCCTTTTTGATCTTCTGCTTGAGCGAAGCCAGCTGTAAGAGTGCTGACAGCAGCACCTATTGACTGAATTTCAGCCGGTGCTTCAAGAACCGGACGACATTGGCATAGTGTACGGCCAGCTATAGAGATTATTTCTAATGTAATACTGTAGGTTCCGTGGTATCACATTCCCTAAAATGCAGTGAAGAGGATGCCAATAGAGACAAATAGCTCTTGTAAGGTTTAACCCTTTCGCTGCCAAGCCCTCCGGAACATTTTTCAAATCAGCTGGCCAAGCCATTTTTGAATTTTCTGCAATTTTTTCCTATTGATTTGATTCTCAACTGCTGCGTTACTAGCGTTTGTAAAAGACCCCCCAAACCATATATTTTCTGAAAGCGCAGGCCCGGTAGAATAAAAAGATGGTGATACTAAATTTGTAGGCCCTGCGATAATTGCGCAAATGTTTCTCAAATTAATATTAAACCGATAAAAATACACAATTCAATTGTTAAAACACACCAAAATCAGTATCCGTGCACAAAAAAAATTATTTTCTCACTAAATCTAAAAGATAAAACTGTATTGAGTTAATAAATAACAATTAGCAAATTTTTAATTGCGCCTTTTTGCAAAAAGGTAAAAAAATGAAGGTATGCAAAACTGTAAATAATCGACTTATGTAAAAAATTGTTTTGGTGTTTGTGTTGTGATAAAATGATACAGGTGTATATTTAATTGCAACACAAGGTATCACAACGCATGGCAATGAGTCACAAAGCTTTGCCATGCGCTGCCACAGTTAATTT